GTTTTGAGAACGTGAGATCCCGCGTAGAGGTCGAGAAGACTCTCCGGGATGAAATGGACTTCGTCGCAAGTTCACGCGCGTCAATCGTGACAGACTCACACATCCGTTCAAAGCAAACTGGAAATACATTAAGGAACGTCGCCAACGACTTATCCGCAAGAAACACCGATAAGGAGAGCACGCACTGTCCCTCATCAACACATGTCAACGACACTATGAATTTCATCAGTATCAGAACCGTCAATACGGTCAGCCAAGCACAAGGTCCTTACCACACAGACGAGTCAATAACAATGGCACTGTACGGCTCCGACACTACTTCGCTCAGCGGCAGTCTACCAGACTTGGAACATAAGTATTTACACCCATACAGGCCTGATCCCTTGTAGGATTGCCATCGTGCGACGCACATGTCTACATCCATCTCCGGAGAGTGCCCCGCACTTAATTCTATGTTTCCTTGTCCGACTGATGTCGTGCCTTCCGTGACCTTGTCAGGGGGCGAATGCAATACACGGCTCTTAGCCTTATTCGCGACTCGATCCTAGATAGGGTTTGAGTTCGACTCATGACTGAGTCTTTCGTGAATAGTCATTGAGACAGGGTTCTCATGACCGTCTAGTTCATACTAGGTGTGATGAAACATCGCGCTAGATATTTAGCTGGCGTGGAGAGATTCCACGCTACTAGAGATAAAGGTAGACGAATCTTCCACGCGTTCCGTTTTTGGATCGTGGAGTGAGTAGGATTGCTACCGCCAACCTACTCTATCACACTCTACAGTCTCCGCGGGAGTTCAGATCTACGATCCTTGATTGTGGATCTCTCTCGTTGATTAGTTTTCATAGCTTTCTAATCCTCTCATAACTTTCATTCTCTCAAACTCAAAACACTCGAAAGATCTTTACACTAGCTTTAGCGTAGTGCATTGTCGAGTGTGTGAAGGACAAGATTCCCCTTGTTTTAAGGTCTTATGTTGATCCCAAGAAGAAGGCCCCCGATGGAGAGACTCATCTTCTTCAAGATATTCGGTAAGCAGCTTCAAGGATAGGTCGGATTCTCCCTCGGTTTCATATCGTGCAAATCTCCACAGCCATGATACTAACACTTCCCATTCGACCAAGTCATCTCCATCTAACTCGCTGACATATGAAACAAACTTTGGAGATTTGGTTAGATTTCTGTTGAGTTTGTGCCAGTTACAAAGTTAGACTGTTGTATTGGGAAATGGCTTCCAAAGGCTCTTTCATCTTCGTCAAAAGCAGCAACTTCGACCCGTGCCAGAGTATTAGCACTGTGCAAAAGTGGCATTGCATCTCTATAGAACCAGCGAAAAACCCAACGTGGTGCCGCCGGAAAATAGGCAAAGGTATGACTGAATGTTTGCCCATTTGCAGCTTTGCCTGATTCAGTCTGTAGCTCTCTCTTCTCCGCATTTGTTTTGAAAGTAATATCACCTGATTTATACTCGGGGTACATTCGGAAGAGCCGCTGTGCACTTTCTGTTGTCCATGCTAGTGCAAGAAGAATCAAGCCCGATCCGGTAATGGATAATGCATTCCTAACCTTTTCAGAAAATGCTGCAGCACTGTCGACTTCATCAGCCAGAGCATTGGAATCAATGTCTTGAGGAGCGGCACCTCTTCGTCTTTGTCTAAATCTCAGGTGTCCAGTTTCAAAATCGGCAAACAAGACTACAAAAGCCTTTGTCTTATCTGACTGGAGCCGTGCGAGTAGCCGGTCAGCTGCTGTTGCTTCATCAGCAGGGACTTGCGTTTCAACACCATCAGCTGACATTATCGAGAGCACAATCCCTTGCCGGAGATTCCGCTTCATGCCCTCCAGCTGCTTTGAACTCAGGTAGCACCAGTGGTTTCGTACAGCAAAGTTTTTATCACACTGGGAGGCAAGTGATTTTTCAGGCACTGATCTGCCAATGTGACCGCCTCGGAACCCAAATGTTTGATCTGGACTTGAATTTGGCTAGGGTCGAGCTTCGGATGTCCAATGTGTTTGTTGCTTCCGCCTTGTTTGGCTGGCAGGAACCATCGCCTGTTGCTCATTACTGAAGTAAACATAAAATAGAAAGGACAAACTTTGTCTTTTCCAATTATAGGTAACTGAGTTTGGTAGTAGGACTGTGTTGGGTTGCCTTTGATGGTGCTTCCTTTATAATACCTATGTCTCGGGCACACGACGTAAGGTAGGCTCTTCGTCTGTCATGCCTCTGTTTTTAACATTAAAGCTGCTTCCTTGCATGCAAGTGCAAATACAGACATCAGTTCCTCTTTGATAAACTTTTTGTCATCTTTGTTGAATTTGCTTGGCAGCCTCAGATACACGTCGGTCTTGTCAATTTTAGCATTGCCAAGCTGGCCAAGCGTTTGCATAATGTCAATTGTTATAGGAGTTTCATTTATTAGAGACGTTGCACAGCTACACTAATAGAAGGAGGGATCCACTCTTCTACATTGGTATCATATTGGGCAACATCATTCAGTTCAGCAAGATAGGTATCCATATTGGTTGTTGTGACACTTTGGTGGGTGCTTCAGTTCAGAGAGATCTGGCAACTTGGAGAACTGGCAAAAATTCGTCATATCATATGATACATATTGTATATATTATATATCATATATATCATATGGTTAATATATATAATAATATTATATTATCTGATTTTTATGATAATTGTGTTTCGTATGATACGTATGATACGTATCATGCGTATGATATATATGATACGTATTGTATAGTATAACCCTTCCTCTAAGGTGCGTGCTTTTGGGGGCTTGTCGAGCAAATCGGTTCTGTGGCACGTCTCTGTGCAGCTTCTTGTGCAAGATCTGGATGCAAAATCAAAGGAATGAATTAGAGGTTCCTCAATATTTTGAAGGTGACTGAAAAATCGTCTTGTGTGTTCTGTGCCTCTTTTAAAACCCGCTGTGGCTATTACTCGACCAAAAGTTCTGTTCAGCCATTTCGGATTTAAATAAAACTACTAGGCAAACAATTCTTTTGACTTTTGGCCATTGGAAATCAATTATGGTGCTTGTAGTAAAATAATTAGTGAAGTATGCTAGATACAGAACAGCAGTACAGTAGTACTGTAGCAAGTAGCATTCGTACTCGAAAACTCGTACTTAGTTTTAACCAGTTTTTACTCCATCGGTCTATAGTGTAAAAGCTTCGGTGGGGCGAGTCTTCTGCGGAAGCCAGCATTGTTTAGGGACCAGGCAACAACTAATTCAACGATTCCCCTCGCAACTCTTGCCCTGCATCTCAAGTAACTATTCATACATACAAGTATTGTAGCTACCGTACGAGTGGCTACAGCCATTGCGTTGCAATCCGATCGGTCGACTATCACTTGACTCCACTCGACTCGGCCCTCTCCTCCCACTTTTCTTCAAAGAGCCCATTTCACATACAGTCGTACCCACTTTTTGTTCAAAGAGCTCATTTCATATACTTTGACTCTACCAGTGTTCATCTATCTGGTTCAAGAAGCTACCGATTGCTGATTGCTGTACCAACATCAAATAACGTTTGTGGCGACCATGAAGAAGTTGTCTGAGTCCGATCTGGTGTCAGAAGAAAGTGACACCCCTTCCAATACAGAAGAAGTGAGTACCTCGGACGATACAGAAATCAACTTGCTGGACGTTGTGGCTGCGAGGATTGAAGCTCACGGAACAGAGGAAAAGATCTCGTCCTTCTTGATGCATAATCGAAAGATCACATCCATTACTAATGCTGACGACATGACAAAAGCAATGGTCCAAGAAGGAAAAGGCCAGCAGCAAAAGGAAGTACATTCTGCACAGCGAGGCTCCCATGGAACTTGCAGTGACAGCATGAATGGGGCAGCCATGCGAATATTTGATCAACCGCTAAAACAAGGATATCATGGAACTTGTAATGACACACTTACGCAAGAGGCTGCCATGCTAAGGTTTGATCAAAAGCTACATCAAGGATATCATGGAAATGATAATGCCATGCGAATGCTGGACCAGAAGCTACAACAAGGACATCTTGCCAATCTTAACCCAAGCAGCCAACCATCACAAAGTGAGGCCACAGAGAACGACCCAGGAGCCCCCCCTCAAGAATCCTTTGAAGAACCACAAGACCTTGCAGAACCAGGAGCCTATGCCGTGGCACCCACACCGTTTGACAACGATGATGCCGAGAATGTTATGGAAGAAAGGCAGGACATTGACCCACCACCACCGGAGCAGGACAACTCTGGTTTGGCAGTTGCACGAGAGGTGCAGAACGATCCAGAAGATCCAAGAAGCCTGCCACAAGCAGAAGAGTATAATGAGAATAGAGAGTCACATACCCAAGAGTCAAATAAGCAGATTGCATTGGTTCTTGGCTACGGCCTCTGTTTTGTTGTTCTCGTTGTACTACTTGCGGTCCTGTTGGGGAAATCAGGCGATGGAACTGAAGCTCAGCCGGCCATGGAACCTGTCGAACCCAACAAAGAAGATGCCCCTATGGACTCTAGCATACCTCCCAGTGCATCTCCTATCTTTGAACAGCTCCTGAGCTACTTCCCAAACTACACTATCCAGGCATTGGAGGTCCAAGAGTCTCCACAATCCAAAGCATTGGATTGGCTGTTGGATGATCCAGATCTAATGGAGTATGTTGATCTGGAATGGAGGGTGAAGCAGCGGTTTGCCCTGGTGGCACTGTTTCACTCTACTGATGGCTTCAACTGGACAAACTCTGATAACTGGCTGAGTTATAGCCACCATGAGTGTTTCTGGTATGCAAGTGGATCCATTCCCTTTCCGATCCCTGGGTCAGGTGACAACCATTTCAGAGTGGAGTATCAGAATCCATGCCATCTACCAAGCAATGATGCAGGCGCAAATGACACTATGGATGCAATGGACCTGATTGAGGACCCAACTCAAGGTTCCTACAAACAGCTGTGGTTTCACATGAACGGCTTGGCAGGCCAGCTGCCAGAAGAAATCTACTGGCTGACAAATTTGAAGACAATGAGTCTCTTCGTCAATATGCTTGGTGGGCCCATATCTTCGCAGATTGGTCAGTTGCAAGATTTGGAAGCAGCAATCTTCAGCTTCACTGATGTCACAGGGACTCTCCCCACTGAGATTGGGATGTTGAGTGACACTCTTGCCTTCTTTCTCAGTGAGCAAACTCAACTGTCTGGGACGCTTCCTACTGAGATTGGTATGCTTTCCAAAGTGGACACATTGTTGATGGACACAAATCATTTCTCAGGCACCATTCCAACAGAACTGTTCCAACTCACCAATCTTCAGATGATTTACTTGGACGAGAACAGTCTGACTGGGACGTTGGCATCCGACATTGGCTTGCTTCGAGACCTTGACTGGGTTTTGCTTTGGGATAACCTCTTGACAGGTACGGTACATTGCTTTCGATGGATTACATTTCTTTCTCTGGAGCAATTCCATTTTTTTCAACTCGCCAAACTGGTTCTCTTTATCACAGGTACATTGCCGACTGAACTCGGTCTTCTCAATCATACCTCTGAACTATCTTTGGATGCAAATCTTTTTCGTGGACCAGTAAGTTCTAGCTAAGCTTGCAAGCAAGAACCTCTTTGTGTGGATACCAACCTGTGTTTCTTGTTATAGATTCCTTCTGAACTCGGCATGCTGAATTCAAAACTTCGGAGGCTTTGTCTCAATGGCAATCGGCTGGAATCTCCCATACCAACTGAACTTGGTTTAATGTCATCTGTGATCGTCATGGAGCTACAGAACAACACTCTTTCAGGCCAAGTTCCATCTGAGATTGCAGCTCTGCCCCACCTCACTCACTTTCTGGCACAGGAGAACAGACTCACCGAAACGATCCCACACGAGTTCTTCAGCTTTCTCGAAACCAATGGTACATCCACCTTGAAGGTTTTCAATTTCAGCAAAAATTTGCTCAGGGAACAAGATGATTCTTGCTGGGTTAATGAAACCTTCCAACAGACACCATCTCTTTGCAATCCCTTCGCCATCTTTGCATATCATTGTAACTGTCAGTGCCACTGTTGATTGGATTGGGATACATGGCTGGTCATTCCTGATCTATTTTTCTCGGCCTGGCCTTGAGCTGCTTTTGAACTGGGCTTGGGCTGAGCTTTGGCAAGTGAACAAGCGCAACTAGCTAGCCAGCAGTATTGTTGTTGGCTGTGAGTAGAAGTAACACCCTTTTGCATGTAATTCGATATTTTATCTTCTTGGGGGTTCTTCTTCACCGTCAACTGCTGTGCATTGCTTTGCTCACAAAGAATCCTACAAATAGAGTAGATGCTCACAACATCCTCTTGCAGTACATGCTCAATGATAGCCACCCCTGTTTCTCCTATTGACTGACGCCAGAGCTACCTCATCCACCGAAGTAAAGTTCCCTTCCTACCGGTACCACTGCTCGTTGTGCCGAAGAAAAGCTCCCGGAAGGTCCGGGGGCCTTGAAGTCACAACGGATTGATTGCTTCTCTAAAGTTTCCGAGCATCCACTTGTCGACCCTTGCTCTTCTGTTGCTGTTCTTTCACCTTGGTAACAGCGAAATCCACGATCTTCTTTACTGCGCAGTTGGTGACAAAGATCGCGTTTTCCATCTGCTTCGCAACCCAAATCATTCCACGAGGAGCCTTCGCACGGGTTTTTTCCGTCCTCCAAGATTTCCTCTGGTACCGGTACCAGAGACGTGAATGAGATCACCAACGTGTGGCTTCCTTTCCATGTCCAAATCCAGGTCCATTTCAATCCTCTTGAGGGCTTGCTTTGGTGTCTCTCCTCTTGGTCTGGAAGTTTTCGCCGCTGTTCCTTGGTGATAATAGCTCTTGTGTTTTTGCTGTTGTTGTTTTGCAGCCATGTTTGATCCGTATTGCTGGATTGTTCTGAGCGCGTCATCGACCTGGCGCACTCTCATGACATACGGATCTAGCCAGAAGCAAGGCATCCCTTGGGATTGCGTCAGCATGTGAATTGTGGCAATTTTTATCTTGGAGGAGTATTGCAGGCTTCTCTTGCTCCAATAGCTGTTTTCGTTCTTGACGTTGAATCTTTTGCACCTCTTGGCACGCCATGGGCCTCTTGACCAGACAACTGGGCGAGCTGGGTCAGGGCTAGCGAGACTCCCATGATGAGAGGATGCGGGATTCTTCTTGATTACATGTAGTCCTGGTATCGGTACCAGGTACTTGCAGTCGGGAAAAAGCGTCACACAACGCCAACACATCCAGTGTATGAGGCACACAAAGTCAATCACAAAGTCCATTTCAAATGGTATTGTATACATATTCACAAGTACTCCAGAGTTACAAAAGGAGCCGCCGATCTTCCGATTTGCTTGTCATCTTGTTGTACCGCATCTGTCCTGCGATTGCCGCAAAGCGGTGAGATTAGAAATAAGCCAGTACAAGCTGGATAAATCTCGCTTGAGACTGATCGTTTCCGACCTCTCTGTCTTCAGGTTTGTTGCTGGGAAGCAAGGAATTGAAAACCTCCAAGGAAGCGAACCAAAAGAGCCCCTGGCGCATGTGGACAAGAAGCTACTAGTACTTGCCAGCTCGGAGTCAGCCTGCCTCCCCGCCCCGAGTACAATGGGCAGGGCTCACCATTCGAGGGCAGTCGGGGGTTGATGGCTGGGAGCGAGGCCATTGCAGCCCTTGCTTGGGTTTCGACTGGGGACTGGGGAGCCGCCAAGAAGGAACATGTGGGTGTTCTTCCTAGCTAGCTACTGGTAGTTTGTATCAGTAGTAGCACAAGGAAATTCTTTCACAAGCACCCCTAAGCCATGTATTGTGTAGTTTGCGCCATTTTCCAAATTCATTCAGCAGTTGAGAACCTTAAACCGTCCTTAGCCTTGCAGGCGGAAAATCTTTAAATAATCGAAGCATTCCCCCTCCCGGCAGTTTTCGAGAAGTTTTGAAAATTCTGACTCCACTTCCCAGCATGACGAACTCAAATCCATCCAAAGTCTTTCCAGGAAGATCCGAGATACGATTACTAGTAGCATCACACCCCGCATACCGGTAGCTAGCTAGGCCCGTGTGCCTTGCATGTGTTCCTAAAACTTCGCACCAATACTGAAGGAAGCTCATTAATTTTCCAAATCTAAAGACCCCCGAAGGACGCTCAAAGTCAAAGCCGATCATACAATGACGCTGACACCCCAACGCAAAAACTCCCTGGGTTCCGTCCATGTTGACTTCTATGCTTCAGCTTCCAAGTCGTGTCAGTCAAAACACAACACCACTGCTTCAAAGATCCAAGACTACCTCGACGCACTCCAAGACCGTCTTGGGTTACCGAAATTCAATTACGGAGACATCACCGAAACCGGTGGTTCTTTCTCAACCAACGATGACGATGTGACAAAGTGGTGGTTTGCTTTCTTTGAAAGCCAACCCGCCTTTTGGTTCAGCCTTAAAAAAACCACTGGAGAAGACTACGCCGTGGGCACCCTTGAACGGTACATGCCTTCCATCAAGAACCAATTGACAAAGAAGTTCATGCTCTCCCCCTACCTTAAAGTCATCGAAGCCACCTACACCTCCGCCTACAGCTCCTTGAAAGCCATGGTGAAGGAACGCAAGAGAGCATCACCCACGATCAAGAACAAAGTGTACTCCAGCGCAGACATTGCGTTCATCCTACAACGCTGTCTTTGGTTCAATCTAGAGAAGTATATTGACTTCTTCGTCTTTCAAACAACAACTCTTCGACTCTGCAGTAGAGCAACCGAGACATCTCGCCTCTCCGTGCAGAACCTCTCTAATAGAGAGGTGTGTGAAGGATCCCTCAACAACATTCTCCAGTGTTATCTTGTACGTGACAAAATGGGTGTCGACAACAACCATCCTTTGATCCCCAACAAATACGATGTTTTCGGTGACCCTGTTGTTGCCATTGGTTTGGCCCTGTTCATACACAATGACAAACTTCTCATGCCATCAATCGGCAACCTCAACGGTGACTCTGCTGTTTCAGCCCACTACACAACAATGTTGAATTCCATCTGGAAGCGCTACCCCCCCACAGAGAACTCATCCATTCGAAAAGGCTCGTCACACTTTGGGAAGCACACTGCTCAGTTTCTCCTCGATGGAGCCAAACTCCACATTGCCGCACAACTGTTTGGTGGATGGAATGTCGGCGAAGGAGCCCGTTCTGAGTACTTCTCCAACCCCTTTCCATACCTCCTCGATGGTGCCAAAGCCCTCGCAGGTTATTCCAAAGTCGGAGGCGACTATCAACGTGTTACCATCCCATCTTACGACGCCAAAGATATAGGTGACAAGATCTGTTCAGTTTTCTTTGGACATATCCCTGAAGACTTACTCTGCGTCCAAGTAAAGCAAATGATTCTAATGTGCGTCCTATCCAAATGGGATCAGCTACTACACCACATCCGTGCAGAACCCAATGGCTTATTCAAGGACCCAAAGAACCACATCATTGTCGCGACCCTCATGCAACGACTCTCGCGAGATGGCATTGAACTATCTGATTTCAAAAAATTCAAGTCGTCATGCAAAGAACTAATCGACAAGACCAACGCCATTCACGATGCCTCCTCCACTTTCCCCACCCCGACCCTACCCCCGACTCCCATGACCAAGATAAACCCAAGTTCAGATTACCACGTTTCCCTATTCCAACATGAATTGAAGATCCGACCCCTCAAAGCGCTCCTAGACCTTGTCACAAGGAACACCGACCCAAAGATTGTCTTCATCAATTTCTTCGCCTACAGCTTCATGGAATCCTACAAGTCAACCCCCAAGCTTGACAACCGCATGAAATGCAAGTATAGAAAGATCAAGGCTGCCATCAGGGTCATGGTCCGGTTCCTTGACACCTTCCCAACTCCGAAACCATCACTGGAAGACGCCGGTGTCATGATGCATCGTATCAAGAGTGCGCTGTTGAGTGAGGCTTCAAGCGTTAAAACCCAAGGTAAACAACCATTCAATGCTACGACACCACTCCACTTCTCCATCATCCGCGCCAATGAAGAACTCCTCACTGACAAGACAAAGCCCTGGTATCGTTCCCTCCCACTCAACACCCCCCACTCCTTCATCGAACACGTCTACCACCACAAGATCTACCAGATCTAAGCAACGAAGCAAATATAATTTTTTATTATTTTTTGGTGTCCTCTTTTCCCGCAAGCGTGCCACGCTCACGCTCAATCTCTATCCTTAATGAAATAGATGGGCCTGAGGTGAGATTATCCATTATTACCTCACCTCGGACCCATGGCCCCCCTACTCTTTTAGTATAGGAACAGCTGAGACGGGCCAAACTATAATTGAAGGTTCCCTACGTCATCTAAAGGAACCGAAGATTTAGAGTTAGGCTCGTGTCAGCTTCCCCCCCGACACCAAACAAGCCTACTACGGCCGATTAAGTAGCATGACTAGACGACTGACACAACTCGAAAAGGTCCACAACAACTCGAACAACAGCAAACAGAGATTTCAATATCAACCATCCTCGATTA